CGCCTCCCAGTCGACAGGCCCCGAGAACGTCATTGTCGAGGTGTGGCCTGTCACTGGAGTGATGGTTCCCGTGGACGGGCTCCGTGCCTCCTGCACGGAATGGGTGGATGTCGGGGCCGTGGTCGTGGGAGACGCTGAGCTCTCCTGCACGGGCTCGACTCTTGCCAGCATCATTGCCGGCCCACCATCCACGTCAGCCTGGACGAGGTTTGCCGTTGCCGTGGCTGCCTCGTCGGCTTTCCTCTTGTGGCAATCCCGGATCCAGTGACCCGGCATGTCGCAGTAGCGGCACTTGCCACCGTTGCCAGCGCCTCGCCCTGCCCGGCTTGGCTTGCGACCGCGGTTGCCGCCACCGCTCTGGGCACGGCCTCTACCTCTGCCGCGACCTCTGCTTCCCGTGGGGGCGCCTCCCCCACTGCCGGAAGAGCCGTCGCGGCCGCGCTGCTGAAGCTGCGTGTCCCACTGCTCCCTGGTGAGCAGTAGTTCGCCGCCAGCACGGTTGTCGGCTTCGTCGCCGCGCTCCTCGACGACCTTCAGCCGCCCTACCAGCTCCTCGATCGTCATGGTGGAGAGATCCACCAAACTCTCGATGGACCAGGCCAGTTGCTTGTACTGCCTGGGGACGACGCGGAGGAACTTCAGAATCACCATCTTGTTGTCGATGGGATCTCCGAGCGTTGCGAGCTCGTTGACGAGACCTTGCAGCCGCAAGGCGAAGTCGTCGACTTGTTCACCGGCCTTGAACCGGATCTCCTCGTACTGGAGGCGCAAGGTCTGGGCCTTTGACTCCCGTACGCGCTCCACGCCGATGCGCAGAGTCTTGATGGTCTCCCATGCTTCCTTGGCCGTCTTCTTGGCGCCAAGGGTGAGCACCATCTCCTCTGGGACGGAGCGCAAGATCGCCTCCATCGCCAGCCGGTCCTCCTCGTACTCGACATCGCCGGTTTCCATGGCTTTCCACATATGCCGCGCCTCCATGATGACTTTCATCATGACCGACCAACTTGGGTAGTTGGTCCGCGTGAGGAGGGGGAAGGAGGTGCTGGACATGCCCACGTCTCGCACGGAGCGTGGCGCACCTAGCTCACCTCCCGGCCTGCCTCGCAGCGCGAGCGCGTCCGCCGCACGGGTGTCCTCAGCCGAGCTCTGCCCGACGGTCTTGGAGCCGTCGCCGGCGACGCCTTCCTTCGGCATATGTTTCGGCATAACCTAAGGCTCTGATGCCGCATGTTAGCCCAAACTACTGAGACCAGAGGGTCGTGACTATCTACTGGTAGTACTTGCACTCAGCTCACTAGTATAACACACACACACTAGTGCAGGGCAAGACACACACACGAGGAGGAAAGACGCTCACGGGATACTAGTTGTATGAAGCTCAAATGCTTGGAATGGAATGCTTACAACCGGAGGGGTGGAGCTCCTTTTATAGCTAACTGAACCGACTATGCTACACACTAGGTGACGTCAAGTGCATGAGTGACCTCATGGCTTACGTGCTACATTCCTTAGTTACTAAGGATACGGGAGCTCTAGTAATTTCTTTCCAGTTTTACTACTGCTGCCGACATGCATCCATACATGCATATGAGACTAGCTACGTAAATGCTGCTGCTGCTGTTGTGTGCATCGGAAGACCAAGGTTGACTCAACATTCTCCCCCTCAACCTTGTCGAAGGAGCTTGATGTCGATGATCCCGACCTTGTCGCGCAGTTCCTGGAACCGGACATGACCAAGTGACTTGGTCAGGATGTCCGCCTTCTGCTCACCGGTCCTGATGAACTCCACGTTCACCGTGCCTTTCTCGACGCAATCACGTATGAAGTGATAGCGGAGATCGATGTGCTTGCTGTGGTCGTGTAGCACTGGATTCTTGCAGAGGGAAATCGCTGACTTGTTGTCGACGAAGATGAGCGCAGGGGCGGTGTCCTGATTCAGCATCTCGCCGAGAAGGCGAGCAAGCCAAATGCCTTGACAGGCCGCTGTAGCTGCCGCGATGTACTCCGCCTCGCACGAAGATACGGCGACAACCTTCTGCCTCACCGATTGCCAGCTGACGGGACTATTCCCGAGAAGGAATAGTATGCCCGAGGTCGTGATGCGACCACCCTCCTGGTTCACCTCCAGCCCGAGGTAGTACCGGAGCAGCCCAAGGTCGCTCATGCTGAAGAGACGATGCATCTCTCCCTTGAAGCGTTGAACCTCTTCAGGCTCTGCCCCGGCGATGACCAAGTCATCGACGTAGATGCCAACGATAAGCAGCGTGTTCGCGGTGCCACGCGAGTACACACCATGCTCAGAAGCGCTGCGTGAGAACCCAAGGGATGCAAGGCTTGCATCGAGCTTGGCGTTCCACGCCCTTGGGGCTTGCCGGAGACCATAGAGGGCCTTGTGTAGTCGATACACGCCCTGCTCGTGGCCCTTGGCAACGAACCCGGGTGGCTGGGTGACGTACACCTCCTCGTTAAGGTCGCCGTTGAGAAACGCCGACTTGACGTCCATGTGGTGTACCTCCCACCCACGGTGAGCGGCCATGGCAAGGATGAGCCGCACCGACTCCAGCCTTGCCACCGGAGCGAATACTTCCTCGAAGTCCACTCCCTCACGCTGCACGTAGCCCTTTGCGACGAGGCGCGCCTTGTGCTTGACAATGGCGCTGTGCTCGTCCTTCTTCACCTTGAAGACCCACTTGAGCCCGATGGCTCGGTGCCTAGCAGGCAGCGTGGTGAGTGTCCAAGTGGTATTGTCGTTGATCGACGCCAGCTCATCCAGCATCGCGTGGCGCCAGCAATCCTCTTGCTCGGCCTCCGCGAATGTGGTCGGCTCCTCGCCGGCCATCAGATGCAAGACCTCGTCGTCATCAGCGTCCTCATCCTCGGGCTGTTGCGGTGTTGCCGCAGCTTCGCCGAGGAGATCCCCCATGCGCCGAAACCTGTGGGGGGCGCCTACGCTGTCGTCGGCGTCGAATAGCTCTGACCTCGCCGTTGGCGGGGTTGCGAACTGCCTCCCAGGACCCATGTTGCTTGACGTCGTGGTGTCCGGCGACACCGTACCCGGGGACGGTGTTCTCGGCGTCGCTGTTCCCGGATCCACACCTCCCGAGCTTCCCGGGGTGGTACTTCCCGGGATCTTGCTTCCCGGGGTTGTAGAGTACATCGGGTACTCCACAGTGAAGGAACTGCTTGCCGGGACCTCCCAACGGTCAAAACGACGTTGTGACGCGTCATCGATCTAGATGCACATACTAGCTTCCCGGCCGTTTTACATCATGGGAACAGTGATATGTTCCAGCAAAAAAAAAAACAGTGATTTTGGTTTTCTAATTTAAATTTTTTTCAGGTGCCCATGATTTTGGTTTTCAATTTAGTTTGGCCAAGTGACCAGATGTTTCTTCTGAATTTATTCATAGACCAAGTGCCCAACAAAGTTTTACAACATTTAAATTTCTCATATAAATATGCCTATATTTATCTCGGTATATATGCCAATATTAAAAGGCCCAAAGGCAGATCAAATTAATCTTGGCCGTCAAATCATATATCAATCCAATGGCCTACATTACTTCAATGGTGAGCCCTCGGCATGTTTAATGTGCAATTAACATCATTCCAAAAAAATTCCAAAAAAGTAACATCATATTAAATATCAGCTTTTGTGCTAATTTTATAATTAATGCATAATTGATATCGTACCTAATATCAACGTGCAGTAATTTTTCTTCCTAATATTAACGTGCATTGCACATACACATTTACTATTTATTATTTACCAGTACTAACTACTACTAGTATCTAAAAATAGCCAAGGGGTAGATCCAAGTACGTAATCTCGGCCATCAAAACAAGTCGATCAAACGGCATAGATTGCTCTAATGATGAGCCCTCAACTATTTTTCCGTTGTAGGGCCAGGACGTCTCGGCCTACCCTGCTTCATTTTTCTTTCGAATTAACCCATGATCCAAAATCAAGTTTAACTGAAAAAAATAGTGCGCTTGAAATAACTGAAAAAAGTTAAAGATAAACAAAACCTGATAATCAAACCATCTCTCGTGGTATAGAAGGGTGGTTCTCCTCAGGTTGTCACAGAGGTAACCAAGGCAAGCCAATTCATTTCTCCAGTTGGTGTGGTTTTCTTTGCGTCAGGTTACAGTGTATGACAATATGAGTACTTTTAGATGGTTATTAAGGAGAAGCCTGCCTTCAGCACCGAAGGCACGAACTATGCGATAACGGTGAATCCGAATGAGGATCTCCGACTAAACCTTGTCTTCTTTGCGATTTGGTACATCCCGAGCATCACCCATGCCGTCAATGCGGTTACGGGTCTCTTCTCCTAAGTATATTAGATCATGTATTACAGAAGAAAAAAAAATAGACCACGGAGATTCAGAACAGCCAAAGCCAACTGTTACAGAAGTTAGAACAGTTGGTGCTCCTATGTTTAATAAATAGACAAAGATTTAGAAGAATTTCTATAGTGGGGGAAAGGGTGAAGAGAACCTATGATGAGTCTACTCTACCACATCTTCCCCCTCTACCGAAAATAGCCAAAGGAAGGAAAGGCATAATAAAGAAGCTAACAAGAAGAAAGCCAGCTATTCCTCTGTACATGGTCAGCTGCAGTGAGCAGCATTGAAACAGTCACAACTTCAGTAGTGGAGTAGTTCCTACTGAAATGCCCTATGAATGTATATGCAATGAGCAAATTAGTTCAGCACATGTGCGCACGATATTCATTCAATTCACTCCACATGTTCATAAAATCTACACCACTAGTACTTACTCTGTAGATTTCCAAATTAAGCGAGCATAAGCTCGATACTAGTTGATCGGCCGATAAGGCAAGTACTACATAACATTCACACGAATGGCACACATAGCCAACAATCTAGTGCATCACATAACAACAGTTTGGTGCACCTAATGCACAAAAGATGCTTACTAACTACAGAGCTGATAGCATAATAGGTACAGCATAACATAATTCATCCTCACACCTTTAACGGGCCAAAGCTGGAACCTTGCCATAGTACGGCACATAGAATAGACTGAGATATAGTTTAGTGAATCTTCTTGGAATCTTTTGAAACTGTGAGCCTTTTCCAGTGCTGATGCTAACCGAGATGATCTTATCAGCAATTTCGTCATCAAGGATAACCAGCTCCCTCTCCAGGTTAACAGTCCTGATGTCATAATCGAAATGCCAATATCCATCACTGTGAGTGCGGAGTAACATGTCCCTCCCAAATACATCGACCATACTCAGACGATGCTTCACTACCCACCTGTCGGGGCCTTCCAAACTCCAAATCCGTATCGCACAGCCATCTAATTCTTGTTTCGCATAGCACAAGACGCCTGAGGACTGGCTAAGACGGCCGTTATAACAGCAAAATATGTCCGTCCTATCTGGATATCCTGGCAGCTGAATGAACCTATGGTTGAGCCCTTGTGTACATCTGTCAGGTGCGTCTAGCGCCAGGATTTTATTCAAGATGAAGTGCTTCAGATACAACACCCCATTTACAAAGAGAGAATCACCTTCAAATGGATCTCTAGTTTTCCAAAGACAGCTAGACCATGTGGAATCCTTAGAGAAAAATACCTTAACTTCAGTGTTGATACAGCTCATGACCTCGATAGACTGGAATTTGAAGACATAGAAGTGTTCAGACCATAATGGATCGAAACACAACTCAAATGCAATATTGGAGCGGGCCGGGCCAGGTTCAGTATCTGGAAGTGCCATCCACTCTTGAGTTGCTGGATTGCACACAATAGCATTGGAAATTTCTTCACTTCTAATTTTCTGATAACAAAGAAGTAGGCCATTGCAGCAACCCCGAAGCTGTATTGGGTACTTATAACATGGCACAAAGCTAAGTGTTGTGTCAATTTCCTTGTCACCTGAGGGCAGTCTGGCGAGATGGATGGCACTGCCAAGAGGGGAGGCAACTCTGCCACGCTCAAATTTCTGGTACAAGAGGCCAGCGGGAGTTCTTGGGAGCTTTTGCCGATAGTATGGATGAGATGAGAGGGCAAGCCAAGACTTGCAGACACATTTGATGCGGCACAAGGACTTTAGCGGCAGTCGAGACAGGATGTCTACTACCAGCTCATCAGGTAGTACACATGTGGACATCCCCAATCTAGGATCTGAACTTATCTGCATCAAAAGAAAAGAAAAAATTAGATAATGTAAAACTGGGAAACAATAAAGTATGTGTGTAAACATCATCTGAACCCAAAAATTAAAATCCAGCAAAGTTTCACCCTCCAAAAAACAATGAATGCACATTTTTCTGTTGGTCCCAATTGATGCTTGAATTAGTAAACGAGTGGCTGTTGAAACGTATGTGATCATGTTCATCTTATGACAATGACACCATTGTGTATATGAAAGAACATATTTGGTATGGACTTATGACCTGTACTGAGTGGGTCACAGGGATTCAATGTGAAAGAACAGATTTGGTATGGGCTTATGGCCTATGCTACGTGGGTCACAGGGATTCACCGTTTGGTTGACACAGGGATACTGCTATATAGTAGTTATGTGCAAGATAAAATAAAATGACCAAGTTTTTCCAATGCTTACATCGCCATCCATCCTTGGAAAAAATGTGATCTGATAAAAAGGGAAGAGAAAGTACCTTCAGGATCTATAATCCTAAGGACCTATCAGACACCGTGAGAAGCTGAGACAGGTGCTAACTCGAGAGATAAGCCAGGGCAAGTCAAGAATATCATGTATCCATCCTTAGTGCGACTGACCAACAGAAACGAACTCATCAGACATCAGATCATGTATATGCTCCTAACCACGACTTCCTTTGGCATCACGAAGACGACAGGATGAGGGAAATCCGTCAATTTACAGGATGGCACACCAACTGGCGAAACGGATGGCGTTGAGATCTAGGTTGCATCTGCGATGAGCTCAGATTAGAAACAACACATGAGGACAAACATGCGGCATAGACACCGAGGAGAGGAAGAGGAACGGGAGCTCACCGCATAATGCTTACTTCGGGTCGTCGGCGAGTACGGTCGGCCAGGCGGCAAGCGAAAACGAGGCTGCGGAGGTGAGGCAGCAACGCAGGATTTGGAGGTGGGCGCAACGTAGTGCCTAGAGAGAAGGGGGATAGGAGAGGATGTGTTGAATCTGAATCAAGGAAAGAAGTAAAGCGAGTGCTCGAGGCCCCTCTAGAGATAAAGGGATAAGGGAAAGCACGCGGGACCACATTGACACATGTTTTGCATGTGAGGTGGCTGACGCCAGCGCTTTTGTCACCCCACCAAACAAAATTATTTTCATTTAGAAAAATAATACTAATCTCACTTGAAAACAACGTTGGGAGTCGCTAGGGTGATATTTTCTCCGTCGGCTATCTCTCCAGCCAGCCATTGTACTTAAAATGGTAATTTTTGGATCCCTATCGTTGTAACATTAAACACCCAAATATGAAATAGTTAGAATATTCCCCCCCATGAACCCAAAATTTATTCATAGAATTGCAACATTTAAAACATGCCCACAAAAAATATAGGACATAAAAAAGGGTCAAAATAGCATGAACACGGGCAACATGAAAAATCAATGTAAGAATATACAAGCACAACATATACAATAACGAAGAAAACATTTGTAACATAATTGCAATCCCTTTGTGACAGAAGTTTGGAGTCATTTACAAAATCTCGTTCATGTGTATGCAGTAAACAACCTATGCACAAAAAAAATCCGCTTAACGCATGTCCGACCAACTGAAAGGATCAAAGTCTCAAAGATATCAAGAGGGGTATTGAATAGGCAACTAATTTTTTACAAAATCATTGATTTTAGGAAGTGTGGAATTGGACCATACAAAGACTACAATATTCGCTCGAAGTTTAAGTCCTTGGGGTTCTAATCTCCGTTGGAGATACGTGGGACACCAAGGCACCAACAACCACAGAAACATAGTGTTACTCTCCTTGAGCTTTGGCCACGAATCCAAGCTCAACCACTAAGAGCAGAGCTTGAAGTAATTTTCGGCCTTCACAAACTATCCTTGGAATAATCCACAGCATGGAAGATCTCAGGAGACTCCGACCTTCTAAGAGTCCCCAGAAATGCCACAGAAGTTGAACAGTTGACGCTCCTATGTTTAAACAGACATTTAGAAGAATTCTACAGTGAGGGAAAGGGTGAAGAGAAAAGGAACGGAAAGCCAGCCTGATTCACCTACATTCTGGACAAGTCAAAGATGGACTGCAGAGGATACACAGACCTAAACAAGGCATTTTGTACATGGTCAGCTGCAGCCAGCAGCATTGAAACAGTCACAACTTCAGTAGTAGTTCCTACTGAAATGATAAGTTTTGTGCAGCTTCAGTAGTAGTTCCTTCAGTGAACAGCATAAGTTAGATAATAGTTGACCGGCCGAAAAGACAAGTACTACATACACTACATACAGTTCACACGAACGACACACAACCAACAATCTAGTTCGTAGGAATAGGATTTTATTTTGATGGAAGGCCCATAGGAATAGGAATTCGGTTGCCTAAAACAGAGAGAGCGAGAAAGATGGGCTCGATCGGATATGTTCGTGACATCCCCTACCATCCAGCTTCTGCGTCCACTATGCCCACGACTCAGCTCCACATCATGCTTGATCCAATAATAATCACGTAAGGCTGGCACACAAAAGTTTGTGGGCTCATGCACCTCCTACCTTATTTGCATGGGGCTAAGAAAACGGTAAGGAAAAAACAATAAACAGGTGCACAAGGTCTCGCACCGGACGTGTCGTGAGCTTCTGCCTCCCGGAAGACCTGGCGCGTGCACGTTGCTGCTGCCACTGGTGTGCCGTTCGTGGCCGCGACAGCTCGTTCCTGTGCCTCCCGGTCGCCGCGCAGGAGCTCATGACAACCTCCTCCACGTCCCGCCGCCATGGTCACCACATCGCCACTTGTCGGCCGGTCCTCTCGGTCCAGCCCATGCTTTTTGCTGGTCCGGTCCCTGAAAACAGGACCGCTAGGTTGGTCCGTCCGGTCCGATCCAGCCCGCTAGCGGCCAGTCCAAACGGTGGCTCGGTCAGGGACCGGACCGGACCGACCATGTCCACCCTATAAGGGCTCAAGATTATCTCAAATTTGCAGACATAGAAGTGCTGAGACTATAATGATCAAAACACAACCTGAGAACAGCAAATATCTGGAAGTACAATCCACTCTTTAGTTGCTGGATTGCACACGATAGCGTCATAAATTTCATTATAGTGCGTATCACAATGATAACAAAGAAGTAGGCCATTGTTGTAGTCCTTAAGCTTGAGATCAACATAGCACAAAATCAATATCCCTATCACTCGAGGGAAGTCCCGCCAGAAGGATGGGAGTGCCATGCTCACCTTTTTGGTAGAGGAGACGGACAGGAGTTCTTGGGAGCTTCTGGCGGTAGTGCGGATCAGATGAGAAGGCAAGCCAAGATTTGGAGACACATCTGAAATGGCAAAAGGACTTAAGCGGCAGCCGAGACAGGATCTCCACCACCAGGTCATCAGGTAGTACAATTGTGGTCATCCCCTAACAAGGTTATCTCCTATGAGTTTTTGTTGTTGTTGAAAACACTCCTATGAGCTTATTTAGCAGATGAACTTATATCTTCATCAAAAGAGAAGAAAGTAAATGATATAAAACTGAGGAACTTAGTGTTTATCCAGAACTACAAGAAGTAATGATGCCCATAATTTAACGATTAACCGGAATGAGCAAATTACTGGATTGTAGCTGAGACCAGCACTTGATAATTGGTAAACATTGACTCCATGCCCAAAATATGGATGTAGGATTGTGGATGCCATTTGAACTGAAATACTATACAACTTTCACACTAAAAACCATGACTAAATTTTTTGTTGTTGGTCCCCTTCTAACGATAGCTTTTGCAGTTTACACCAGAATTTGTAAATGTGGATTGAGGAAAGTTTTGAAGCATATTTTCGTACGGGCTTATGGCGTTCGCTGAGTGTGTGAGCGTGGGTCACGGGGATTCATAGTTATGTGCAATTGTGCAAACAATAAAATTACTAAGTTTTTTCCAATGATTGCTTTGCCATCCATTACATAACAAGCCAGCAACAATGAAATCATAATGCAGTGCGTTGCTTAATGCGCTGTGAAACAGAAAGTTATCTGATAAAAAAGTGAACATAATGAACCTTCAGGATCTATAATCTTAGGGACCAACAAAAAAAATAGTAATGGTGCAAGGGCAAATATAAGCAACTCGTGAGATAAGCAAGACATCAGATCAGGTGTATGTTCCAAACCTCGATTTGCTTTCGTGGCACGAAATCGACAGGATGAGGGGAAATGAGAAAGCTCCATGTATTGAAAGCTCCATGTTACTCCAGATGTTCATAACATCAACAAGATATAGCAATATGCATATGCTCTGCAACTTTCCTACACTACGCTAGCAATACATAACACATAACGAAGCCAACAATCCATGGAGCTTTCTCATTTCCCATGGAGTTATTAAGACCAGAGAAGTGCCAAGTAGATGAACATAACAGATACCGAAGCCAACAATCCGGAACATACATAACAGCTGTTTGGTACAGGTAGTGCACAAAAGATATCAGGGTGAGGGGAAATGCGGACTCACCTGCTTGGGGGAGGGGAATCCAGGGTGGCGGAACGGCCGTCGTGAGAGTCAGATTGCATCTGCACGACCTCAGATCAGAAACGACACATGACATGAGGATAACATTCAGCATAAAGCATCGACGAGAGGAAAAGGCACGAGAGCTCACCGCGTAAGCCGGCAAGCTGGACGTTGCCGGAAGCAGCGGTAGTGCCGGAGAAGGGTCTCGCCGCCGCTCTCCGGAGAATGGGGATTCACCGCTACTTGGGAGAGACTCGTAGTGGGAAAAGCAACGACAGTATTTGGGCTGAGGCTCTTACTGGGCTGGGCCAAGTCCCTCATATTCGATTTTTTTTTTCTACACATTCGGCGACTGAACTAGAGACCTCCGAGAGCAACTAATTAACGAGCGCTCCTTTTGAAGCCTCGTAACGATCAGCGCAACTTGGTGCGCTCTCAGCGATTCGCCACGTGTCGCGCTCTGGACGCTCCCTCCAGATTTTATTTTTTATATTTTTCCGCACGCGTTTTTGGCTTTTTAAACGGTTTTTTTTCAGGTTTTTTCGATGTTTTAGTTTTCCACCGGTCTTTCCTAGCTTTTCAACCAAAAAAACAATTTTAAAAAAAATTGCGCAAAAAAACGTGTTTTCTTTTTTCTTCCTTTCCCGAGAGTCATGGTTTTATTCCCGTGAGAGGCACGACCATGCCTCTTGAAAACGAAAAAAAAAGCGTTTTCTATTTTTTTTCCTTTCGCGATAGTCATGGTTTAGCTTCCGCGAGAGGCACGGTAGTGCTTTCGCGAGAGTCACGGTCGTGCCTCTTGGAAACAGAAAAAAAACGCGTTTTCTATCTTTTTTCTTTCGCGAGAGTCACGGTTTTGCTTCTGTGAGAGGCACGGTTGTGCTTTCGCGAGAGTCACGGGCGTGCCTCCTTAGAAACGAAAAAAAACGCATTTTTTATTATTATTTTTCTTTCGCGAGAGGCACGGTTGTGATTTCGTCAGAGGCATGTGCGTGCCTCTTTCGGAAAGGGAAAAACCCATGCTCCCGGTTCGGTTTTTCCGTCCGGTTTTTTTTGTCCGACTTTTTTCATGAAAAAAATTCGTCAAAATCTATCAACATGGGATCTAGTTTTGAAGATCTCGATGCGAGAAATCCAACGGTGAAAGCGGTTCAAGATTTGGACGCATGGTTTAAGAGATAAAACCTTTTAAATAAACGGATCTATGAAAAGAGGAAAAACTCCCAGGTTACGACAAGTGGCGCACATGCAACACGCCACTTGTCGCAACCTGAGGAATTGGAATGATCTTCGTAATGAGTACTCCTTAACTAGTGATTTCGGAGACCTCCTATGTGCTGCTTACTGCGGCAAAATGCTGCAGGTTCGCACAGGAGACGAGTCACCTGGCCAGCCCATTCGCTGCCCTTGCGGAACGAAAAATAGCAACAACAAAAAAGACACGGTGAAAGCAGTTTGAGATTTGGACGCACTGTTTAAGAGATAAAATGTTTTGAATAAACGGATCTATGAAAAAAGGAACAACTCCCCGATTTCGACAAGTGGCACACATGCAACGCGCCACTTGTCGCAACCTGAGGAATTGGAATGATCTTCGCAATGAGTACTCCTTAACTAGTGATTTCGGAGACCTCCTATGTGTTGCTTACTGCGACAAAATGTTGCAGGTTCGCACAGGAGACGAGTCACCTGGCCCGCCCATTCGCTACCCTTGCGGAATGAAAAATAGCAACAAAAAAAAGACGCGGTGAAAGCGGTTCGAGATTTGGACGCACGGTTTTAGAGATAAAATGTTTTGAATAAACGGATCTATGAAAAAAAGGAAAAACTCCCATATTACGACAAGTGGCGCACATGTAACGCGCCAATTGTCACAACCTGAGGAATTGGAATGATCTTCGCAATGAGTACTCCTTAACTAGTGATTTCCGAGACCTCCTATGTGCTGCTTACTGCGGCAAAATCGCTGCCCTTGCGGAATGAAAAATAGCAAAAAAAAAGACACACTACATAGGGATTGAACTCACCACCTTCTATAGATGCTCGCTATGCGCAAGCCACTGCGAAACACACACTATTATGTAAAAACTGCAGCGCGAAACTTAAAGAACTAGGCAGCCGTGAAAATAAAACAAGTTCACGAAATTCCATAGAAATGAAATTTGTGGGCAACAAATCGAACTCTTCTCCTCAAGCCAGGGAAGCTAGTCCATAGCCACTGTGGTAATTCCCATACATTTTTTAATTAATAACAAAATTTAACCATGTCAACATTTTTTAAATTTCCGATTTTTTTTTAAATGTGAACTTTTTCCTGAAAAAAAAGAATTTTTGGTGTGGGAACCTAATTTAAAAAGTTGAACATTTTTTGAATTACTGAACTTTTTTTAATGAGCGAACAAAATTTGAAAAACAGGAACATTCTCAGTAAAAATGAATAAAATTTGTAAAAATGAGAACAAAAATTAATATTCTGAACAAATTTTGAACTCTAAACTTTTGAAAACACGAACAACATGAACAAATTTGAAAAAATGAGAACAAAAATTAACATTTTGAACAAATTTTAAGAACAAAAATAAGATTCTGAACAATTTTTAAAACACGAGCAACAATGAGAACAAAAAATAACATTCCGAACAATTTTTGAACTCCAAACTTTTGAAAACACGAACAACATGAACAAAATTTGAAAAAAAAATGAGAACAAAAACAAACATTCCAAACAAATTTTCAGAACAAAAGTAAGATTTCAAACAATTTTTGAAAAAGGAAACAAAATTTGTGACTTAGAACATTTTTGAAATTTCTGAACAAATTTTGAAAATGCGAACAATTATTGAGATTCTCATCTTTTCCGAATTTTGTGCATTTGAAATAAAACTTGAAAACAGGAAATATTTTCATTGTTTGTAACAAAAATTTGAAAAATGTAATCAATTTTGAAAATTATGGACACTTTTTGAAAAAGGAAAATAAACTTGAAAAAAAGAAAGAGAAAATAAAAATGAACAGAAAAAGAAAAAGGAAAAAAGAAAAAGGAAAAATAATAGAAAGCCGGAAAAACCAGAAAAGAATCTAAACAACAACAAAAACCCGGTTTAGGGAACCTTCTAGAAGGTTCCCAAAACCGTTTGGACGGACTATGTGTATTTGGAAGTGGGCCGGCCCATGTTTTGTCGTTGGCTTGGCTGCTCTATGCGATCGCCTGACACTTTGCCACAGCGAGCATCCAATAGGGTTTTCCACTGAACTAGGCGGTCTATCAGCGAAACTGCACAATAGAGGACCTTCAACAACAACTATCCAAGTTTTCTAAAAAAAAAATAGCAACTATCCAAGATATCAAGGGAAGAATGCTTGATTTTGCTTCGGTGGATTTCATCCATGAGAAGCGAGAGTTGAATCTTCAATCTCATATAAATTATTTAAAGCACCAACTGCTTTCGCTTTTGGCCATCATGTGTTGGCTTTCTGATTTACCAGACATCATTTGTATCCCTGAACTTATTCCTAGATAAATAAAGTTGCTTGACCACCGGAAAAAAAACCCAGCGAAACTGCACAATAGTACAACGTCATTCGAGTTCGAGTATTTGTTAAGCCTACTAGTATTGCTATAGGCAATGAGGGATGGGTTGGAATTTGTTTCCCTCGGTTTTAATCGTCTTGAAGCAGAATCAGATTCTTCACAAGTAATTGATTTCTTTACCTGGCGGACACAATTGTGGGATGCAGCCTCGGCAATATTTGTGGAGTGTGTGGATACGGTGTCGATAATTGAAAAGGTCATGTTTAAGCATTGTTTACGAACTGCTAATAAGGCAGCTCATGTGCTAGCGAATCATAATTTTTGTAATAAGATGTCTTTTACTTGGTTAGACGAACCGCCTGATTTTGTTAGCAGTGCGGTCGCGAACGACGTAACCCAGTTTGAATTTTAATAAAGCTAGTCTGGATGGCCTTATCCTCGGAAAAGAAACCAATATTGCTAGATTTTTGCTTGATTTAGCTCGACGTCATCACATGTGTGGTTTCTGGAGCCTCCGGACTATGTAAAACTTTCTGTTACTGATTAATAAAGTCTGGTGTTTTGCTCATACAAAAATTTATGAAGCCAACAAACTTCGGCAAGAGTAATTAGTCAAGGGGTCCTCCTTGCGAAATGGCCCACCAAAGCGGTTTGTTCTTGGTTTCCCTTCCAGTTTTGGGTTTTGTAACTTTTGCACTTTGCCCTTCATACTATCTAGGTTTTTCGCTTTTCCCTTCCACGCGTGACACGGGTAAAAAATAGACGCCAAAACTTTAGCCAAAAATTGGCGTGCGTAGCAACAAAAGTAGAATACAGCTACCAAAAATCCCCCTTTTCACTTTCTTTTCCGATTATATTTCTGGGAGATGGAGTTTTATGGGGTAATTATGGGTGTGGGGGCTTCTAAAAACTATCAAATGATAGCTTTCAACTAAAAAAACAAGTTTCAGTAATATTACAGTGCCTGCAGGCGCAATTCCTGCTCACCTCCAGCTCATTAAAATTTCATATACATCTTGAAGGGGGGTCATAGGTCGATGTGTGTGTTCTTCGACAACGTGTTTATCATAATAACCGTGTGCTTCCGACTTCGCTGGTAGGCGATCCCGGTTCAAAACTCCTCTCCCTTTGATCTAATCCTTAAAGTTCAAAACGTGTCTCACTTCCCTGCCCATTTCCTCTTGGATGCTCATGATCATCATCATCACAACATCTTCGTTCGACTCCGACGAATCTAAGGACTCCTTTTGCATTACTTCATCAAGCTCCGTGTTTCCATACTCCTCATCTGACGAACCATCCGAATTCATCATTTTCCTACAAAAGAATCACAAAAGAACTGGTTGGACAATTTTTCAAACACACAGAGAGCAAGGTACAGTCCAAGAATAGCCGATGACATAGGCGATGGATCAATGGAATGTCCATGACGTCAGTATGCTCAAGAAGCTGTGGTCACAGACCATGCCACCAGCGAATGGATGAAGCAAGAGGAGGGCATCCTTGCCTGCAAGTAGGGAATCCGTAGGAATATTGAAGGAGGATACCATGACCAAACTCCTTGGATGGCCTCCGAACTGTACCTGAAGAACTCATCGGCGAAGCATGCTAGCTGCTCGAATCTCCGCACTGTCTCGGCAAGGGGGGTCCTACTGGACTTCACGATGACTGAAACATTAGCTCATTTGGTAACAACCTAACATATGAGAGCTGGCTGCTGCTATGCCGAGAGACTGAAACCTGGCAAGATTACAAGAGTGCTCCCAGCCATTGTATAGAAAGCACACACTGCATCACACATCCTTTTACCCAAAGCTTCATGTTACTATGCAGGTTTCCTAAATTATACTAGCATAAGTAAGACCAGTGTTAACAGGAGAAATGAGAAGTGACAATTAGATGAACATACATAACGGCTGCTTGGCACAGCTAGCGCACAAAAGATACCTAGAGATTACATCATCCATTGGGTAAATATTCTAACATTTGTCTTGAGCTCCCTGAAGCACAGAAGCTGGAAACTTGCCATAGTATGGCACGTAGAGTAGACTTCGATAGAGGTCAACAAACCTTGGAATGTTTAGAATCTGCGAGCCCTTTCCAGTACTGATGCTATATGAGATGATCTTATTATCAGCAATTGTGTCAGCAAGGAAAACTAGCTCTCTCTCCAAGTCAAATGCCAGGATTTCATAATCAAAGTACCATAATCCTTCATTGTTAGTATGGAGCATTATGTCCCTCCCAAATACATTGTTCATATTTAGACGATGCTTCACCACCCACCTATCAGATTCTTCCAAACTCCAAATTCGGATCATGCAACCATCCAATTCTTGTTGTGCATAGCATAAGACTCCAGATGACTGCCAAAGACGCCCGTCAAAGCAATAAAACATCTGATCTACTCCATATGGAAACCCTGGCAACTGAATGGTCCTATGATTGAGCTGCTGTGTGCATGTGTCAGGTGCATCGAGTGCCAGAAGGTAATGCCTCCATAAGTGCTCCACATACAACACCCCATTTACGAAGAGCCAAGCACCAGTAAATGCATCACTAGTTTCCCAAAGACAACTAGACCATGTGGAATCCTCGGAGAAAAATACCTTAACTTCAGTGTCATATCCACCATTTGGGCTCGAGCTTGACTCAAATTTGAAGACATAGAAGTGTTGAGACCATAATGGATCAAAACACAACCTGAGAACAGAAAATGAGACGGCTAGTCCAGGTTCAGTATCTGGAAGTGCCATCCACTCTTTAGTTGCTGGATTGCACACGATCGCGTCAAAAATTTCTTTATAGTACGTATCACCATGATAACAAAGAAGTAAGCCATTGCTGCAATCCTGAAGCTTTAAGGGATGCTCATAACATGGCACAAAGCTAAGTGTTGTGTCAATATCCCTGTCACTTGAGGGAAGGCCCGCAAGATGGATGGCAGGGTCATGCTCTCTTTTTTGGTACAGGAGACCGACGGGAGGTCTGGGGAGCTTCTGGCGGTAGTGCGGATCAGATGAGAAGGCAATCCAAGACTTGGAGACACATTTGAAACGGCAAAAAGACTTAAGCGGCAGCCCAGACAATATCTCCACCACTAGGTCATCAGTTAGTACAGCTGTGGTCATCCCCTGCCGAGGTTCTATATCTCCTTTGAGCTTATCTAGCAGATGAACTTATATCTACATCAAAAGAGAAGAAAATAGATGATATAAAACTGAGAAACTTACTGTTTATGCAGAAGTGGAAGAAATAGTGATACCCATAATTTAACGATTAACGGAAGCTCAGATCAGCACTTGATAAATGGTAATCATTGACTCCATACTGGAAATATGGATGTAGAATCATCGGTGTCATTGCACAGAAATAGTATCCAACTTTCACACTAAAAACCATGACTGTTTTTTGTTGTTGGTCCCCTTCTTACAATACTTTCGTGGTTTATTCACACCAGAATTTGCAAACGAGTAAAGTTCTGAAGCATATTTTCGTATGGGCTCATGGCCTATGCTGAGAGGGTCACGGGGATTCACCGGTTGAATGACACAGGGATACTGCTATCTACTCCTATGTGCAAACAATGAAATTACTGCGAGTTTTTCATCAGATATCAGATCATATATTCATATATATGCTCCAAACCGCGACTTCCTTTCGCGGAATGAAGGCGACAGGACGAGGGGAAAAGCGGACTCACCAGCTAGGGCGAGGGACGGCGGAACAGACGGCGGTGAGATCCAGGTTGCATCTGCAACGAGCTCGGATCAGAATTCAGAAACCGCACACGAGGACAAACATGCGGCGTAGGCACCGAGGAGAGGAAGAGGAACGGGAGCTCACCGCGTAATGGTTGCTTCCGGTCGTCGGCGAGTGCGGTCGGCCAGGCAGCAACCGGAACGAGGCTGCGGAGGTGAGGCGGCAGTACGGGGAGCTTGACGCTGCAGCAAGCAGCGGTCGTGCCGGAGAAGGGCCTCGCCGCGGCTCGCCGGAGAATGGGGATTCGCCGCTAGTTGTCCAGATTGGGAGAGAGTGGGATCACATTTGGGCCGAGGCTGCTCGCTAGGGCAAAGGAAGAAAGAGAGCCTCTTACTGGGCTGGGCCTAGTCCCTCTCGTTTTTATATTTGCCTCAGCTCTCTACTACTACTCTGATATGCGAGCGGCGATCCCTCAAAAAAAAAAAATTGATATGCGAGCGGCTTGGAATCCAGCAAGTGAGGTGCGGTGGCGCAAGATTGAAAATAACATGTTTACAGTCCAATTTGGATGCCTAGGAGATTGAAAATAGCCATTGTGCTTACAAATTCGGTCACTGGATGGCACATGTCCCACAGCCTAACGCGTATTTTTTGAATTTTCTTACTTTTAAGAGGAATCTCTATTTCCGATCATGTCATCATCTAGCCCCATTCAACGTCTTGGAAGTGGACTAGGATCAGGTGACTTGCCTCTTGGCAGTCACGCTGTAACATGCGCCTGTAAGTCCAACATATGTAGCTTTGTGTGCCTGATCTTGCTGAGTTTTTGTTCTTTTCTTTTTCTAGAGATTGATTTATGGTTGACTTAAATCGCTGAAGTCTGGGCCGTCTTTGGCCTTCAATGAACGTTGGATTTAGAGTATCTCCACTCGTTCGGCCCTCCAGTGCATAGGCCGACGCCTTTTCGTGCATCCACCCGGCGATTTTTAGACCCTGGGGGCAACTAAGGCCCCAGCCACGCCCCCAGGTGCCGCCCCCCAGGGCCCCAGCCATGTGCCCCATATTCAAACTTGATCGTTCCCGCTTCAAAAAAAGGCCTGATCCGGCGATCATCGCAATAGTTCAGCGATCAGTGCCACAGTTCAGCGATCAAATGAAAGGATAGCCAATAGTTCGGCGCACAAAAAAAGGAAGGACGCGAATGGAATGCATCAAACATCGAGGTCGCCCTCCGGTGTCGTCATCTGCGTGCGCGGGCTGGGAGGAGTCGGCACGGCTTCTGGACTAGTCGGCGCGGCTTCTGTGCTGCTGGGCGTCGCGGATGCATCATCAGTCGGGCTGGGCGGTGGCGTTGGCGTCGGCGTTGGAGTCGCCGGTATCTAGTTCAGGATGAGGCCGCGCTCCACCAGGAACCACGCCTTGAGCTTCTCGTCGCCGCTCTGGAGCATGTCAGCGCCGCCCATCAAGAAAGCCAGGTCGTTGTTCCTCTTCTTGGCGTCTTGAGCTTTGAGCTTCGTGGCAACGTTGGTCCGGAGCAAGTCGAGTTTGACGGCGTTGTTCGTCGTCAAAGCAGCCCACCGCGCCTCAGATTTCTCTTCTCGCTGGGCAGCCCTGGTCTTGGCGTCGGCGAGGCAATGCTCGATGGACTCTTGCACGCGTGCGGCAGCCGACTCAGCGTGTTTCACCTTCTTGGCCCCTTTGTTGCCGTCCGGGCGCCCGTCGGCCGCGCCCGGTGTCGGCGCGTCCAGCTTATACGTCTCCTTGGCCTTGACGAGGGTGCACCGGATATCCGCCCACTTCTCGCACTTGTCGATCCGTTTGAAGACGTGGAGGTACTTGAACTCTTGGTCACTGTTGTCGTCGCGGTACATGGCGAACATGCGCAACAGCTGCGGCGAAGAGCGAGCATCAGTCGACGCGGGCGTGCAAATGGGCGCGTGCATGGCGAGAGGAATAGGGAGAGGGCGGCGTGCTGTACCTGATCCTCGACGCTGGTGCTGCTCTCCGGGCGAGCTGCGACCTCCTCGACGATCCCATGCCATTTGTCGCACGCTGTTTGGATGAGCCCCAAATGGTTCCCCATCGCCTTCGACCCCCGCTGCATGTGGACGCTTTTGAGTAGGGGTCGACGAGCTTGCGCTCGTCGAACTCAGCCTTTATGCGGTACCAATATGTGTCGATTTTCTGGTTCGTGCCGGTGATCGGGTCGAGGCAGATAACTTTCCACGCTTCGGCGAGGCACTCATCTTCCTTGGTCGCCCACTTGATGCGCGGCTCGCCGGTCTTGGCCGCCCCTTTCTTCTTCTTCTTCTTCTTCTTCTTCTTCTTCTTCTTCTTCTTCTTCTTCTTCTTCTTGCCTTTCCTCGTCCGCGCCGGCTCTTCCTCTTCTTCCTCCTCCTCCTCCTCCTCCTCCTCCTCCTCCGGCTCTTGCTCGCCGTAGTCGAGCTCGCCGTCCATGTCGTCGAGATAAATCGAGCCGTCTTAGGTAGTGAACCCAGGGGAAGCGGCGGCGGCAGCCGAGCCGGCTGCGATGATGTCTTCCATGTCGGCCTCTGTCGCGTCGGCGTCGCCAAGATGCGACGAGGAGGAGGCTTGCGAGTAGAGGCCGCGACGGAGAAGTGGCGTCAGGGAGGCGGCGTAGTCCGGTGACGAGTACGTGTATGGAGGGTACTGTTGGAGAACGTTGCAGAAAACAAAAAATTTCCTACGGTTTCACCAAGATCCATCTATGAGTTCATCTAACAACGAGTGATTAGATACATCTACATACCTTTGTAGATCGCGAGCGGAAGCATTCAAAGAACGGGGATGATGTAGTCGAACATGACGTCATCCAAATCACCGGAGATCCTAGCACCGAACGGACGGCACCTCCGCGTTCAACACACGTACGGAACAGCCACGTCTCCTCCTTCTTGATCCAGCAAGGGAGGAGGAGAGGTTGAGGGAGATGGCACCAGCAGCAGCACGACGGCGTGGTGTTTGATGGAGCTGCAGTACTCCGGCAGGGCTACGCCAAGCACTATGGAGGAGGAGGAGGTGTTGGAGAGGGAGAAGGAGGCAAACCAAAGGCCTGGGTGGTTTTGCTCCTCCTTTTCCCCACTATATATAGGGCCAAGGGAGAGGGGGAGGCGCAGCCCTTGCCCCTTCCTCCAAGGAAGGGTGCGGCCAAAGGGGGGGAGGAGTCCATCCTCCCCAAGGCACCTTGGAGGTGCCTTCCCCCTTTAGGACTCTCCCCTTTTTTTCTTCTCTTGGCGCATGGGCCTCTTTGGGCTGGTGCCCTTGGCCCATGTAGGCCAAGGCACACCCCCTACAGCCCATGTGCCCCCCCGGGATAGGTGGCCCCACCCGGTGGACCCCCGGGACCCTTCCGGTGGTCCCGGTACAATACCGATAACCCCGAAACTTGTCCCGATGCCCGAAACAGGACTTCCCATATATAAATCTTTACCTCCGGACCATTCCGGAACTCCTCGTGACGTCCGAGATCTCATCCGGGACTCCGAACAACCTTTGGGTTACTGCATATACATATCCCTACAACCCTAGCGTCACTGAACCTTAAGTGTGTAGACCCTACGGGTTCGGGAGACATGTAGACATGACCGAGATCGCTCTCCGGTCAATAACCAACAGCGGGATCTGGATACCCATGTTGGCTCCCACATGCTCCACGATGATCTCATCGGATGAACCATGATGTCGAGGATTTAATCAACCCCGTATACAATTCCCTTTGTCAATCAGTATGTTACTTGCCCGAGACTCGATCGTCGGTATCCCAATACCTTGTTCAATCTCGTTACCGGCAAGTCACTTTACTCGTACCGTAATGCATGATCCCGTGACCAGACACTTGGTCACTTTGAGCTCATTATGATGATGCATTACCGAGTGGGCCCAGTGATATCTCTCCATCATACGGAGTGACAAATCCCAGTCTCGATCCGCATAAAACAATAGATACTTTCGGAGATACCTGTAGTGCACCTTTATAGTCACCCAGTTACGTTGTGACGTTTGATACACCCAAAGCACTCCTACGGTATCCAGGAGTTACACGCTCTCATGGTCAAAGGAAGAGATACTTGACATTAGAAAAGCTCTAGCAAATGAACTACACGATCTCACGCTATGCTTAGGATTGGGTCTTGTCCATCACATCATTATCCTAATGATGTGATCCCGTTATCAATGACATCCAATGTCCATAGCCAGGAAATCATGACTATCTGTTGATCAACGAGCTAGTCAACTAGAGGCTTACTAGGGACATATTATGGTCTATGTATTCACACGTGTATTACGATTTCCGGATAATATGGTTATAGCATGAATAAAGACAATTATCATGAACAAAGAAATATAATAATAATGCTTTTATTATTGCCTCTAGGGCATATTTTCAACAGTCTCCCACTTGCACTAG